CCCCAAAACCCCAAAACCCCAAAACCCCAAAACCCCTCTTTTCTTACCCTTATTGATTAAACTCAGAAAATGTATTATAAATTAAATAAAGTTCATGTCGTCAAGCAATAAACCAAAAAAGTGGCTTCGCATACTGTGTTGTATCTGATCAAATAGTGGCGAGAAGAAGAAAAAGACCAGGAGAATTGGAGCCAAACTGGCTGAAGTCGTCAGAAAGAATTCAAGCGATAGGCAGATTTTTAAATAACAAAGGCATGTGAAAGCAAACATTAATAACTGATAACCTCCTTCGAGAATTTTTCTCTTGTATTTTCTCCAAAAAATGCTAAACAAATTAACTGGTTCAACTTTTGATATTAGGTATTGGAAACAGCTCAACTCCTATCAGAGAAATACGAAATCAAAGAGCTAGGGGTACGGACAATTATTAATACCATTTCCTACAACAAATCAGAATTCCACTTATTATGAACCAAAGAGGTTTTGATTCATATGCAATTTCTTTGATAAACCTCTTGAATTCTTTCAACATGTCAATATAGAGAAAGAGGAAAAGGAAAGGTGTGACCAGTTGCAATTAAGCAAGTAAGATATAATCTACTGATCTGCTGTATTACTACTCATCAAATTCTCCATGAATTTGTTGACCATTCTAGTCAGTATGCTCAATTCTTTAGAAAAATCACCCAAAAGGAAGAAAAATCAGAAGATCTTGACCTCCAAATCTTCGGAAGAAATCTGAAAACTTTTAACAATTATACTGATGATAATTTCTCAGATAAAGAGATTAGTAATACCGAAAGGAGGAGGAATAGCTGGAGTACTTCCAGAATGAGTCCTTTCACCGATACCAAAAATGTACGTACCTCTTTTAAATTCCTCTTAATTTTTAACAGGAGTTTGCCTCAAGGAGAAAGCAGAAAAATATTAAAAATGAGCCAATTAGAAGTTTCCAGCTTGGAACGGCTGAGAAACTTCATTCTTCATATAAGAGCAAGAAACTTTTGGTCCAGAATACAGGTACAACTTCAGTAGGAATGCTCAGTACAAAGAAGCAGAGCAAAGTTGGTGAAGATCTGGACTGTGCTCTACAAAATGAGAGTTATACCAAAAAGATGGTTCATCCCTCACCTCAAGTAAAGCTTAACCAGAGAAAGATCCCTCGAAAGGAGCAATCAAAGGCTTCGAAGTCTTCATCGAAAAAATCTCAGAAGAAGAGACGAGTCCCTAAGAAGTATACTAAACCGAATATGAATAAAGAGAAGGTGTCAAATAAATCCTTGGTTAATGATGACACTGGACACAAGGATTTGTTAGCGACAACCAGTGGGAATGATTCTCAAAGACCTTCAATTAATAGTGAGCTTAAGCCTAAAAATAATTCCACTAATAAAGTATCGGCTAGGTTTACAATAACTAAGGATGATGTCCTAGCTAAGCAAGGTGTGATCCCAGAAGACCAGAATGAGGATTACTACACTGATGAAAATGAAAGTGATAGTTCTGAAGAAACTGTATCAAGCGTTGAAGAGAATAAATATGAAAACTTCTCGCTGAACTCATCCAAGGAATTAGCCCTTCCTCCTCCACAGATGATTATGAAGAAATTTGCTTCTGCAAATCCTCCCACGAGAAATGCAGCCGGAACAACAAGAAATCCTTTTATCTCACCCAGCGTGAGCACAAATAAAGAGGCTGTTGATACTCCTATTAATTCATATGCTGGTTTACTCAGCCCTCTTCCTGATATCCACTGAGGGCACAAGAGGGTGTCAAAGTCTCGAGCTGATGATTCTTTTGCATTAAGAGCAACCTCTCAAAAAGATTTTCAGACTGACTTGTCTCTTCTCAAGAACAAAAGTGTTGCTGAGAGGAGCAAGAAGGTCAATTCCAGACTTAAAATGATGATCTAATTTTGATCCTTTATTAAACTTAAACATATCAATTATTATTTCTAAAATGGGGTTTTGGGGTTTTGGGGTTTTGGGGTTTTGGGG